GTCGAAGTGCTTGCCATCACCGGCATCATTTCGGTCTTTCTCAGGACCCCGCCTTCAGCTGCGTGCGGTGGCGCACGCCTGTGATCCTAGCACTTGGGAGGCTGAAGCAAAAGGATCATCATGAGTTCGAGGCCAGGCTAGTCCACATGGTGAGTTTAAGGCCAGCCTGAACTAATAGTGAGACCCTGACTCAAAAAACCAAACCAAGCCAAACAAAACAAAGAATCCCGTCTTTCTCCCCGTTCCCCATCAGTTCTTGCACACAGTTGCTGGAGAATCCTGCACACACTGCTGCTGTGGCTCTGAGGCTCCTGCTAGCTCTCTCTGCAAGTTGCATTGTGTTTGGTTTTGTTTTCCTGTGATTTTTTTTTTTAATCAAAAGCCATAAGCGATGTTGGGCAGCGATTTAGCTCAGTGGTTTTGCCGCCTGCTGAGCAAGCGCAAAGACTCAAGTTCGATTCCCGGTACCAAAAAAAAAAAAGAATTGGCTCTTGCCACTTTCTGAAGCCATTTTGGAGTCCTTTTTCCTGTGTGTCTTTATGAGGTGTGATCAAAAATACAGTGAAAAATATCTGGTGAATGCTGCTGCCGAGCAACATCGAACAGAAAGGCAGGACCATAGGAACACAATGCTGTGTTCCCATCCACTGGATGAGGCATCTTTCACCGGATCTGGCACTGTGTGACTTCTGGCTCTTCCCCAAAGTAAAAAAGACCATGAAAGGGAAACATTTTGAATGATTCAGGACATTGAGACAGCCAGGACAGCAACTAAAGAGACTCACTTTTTTTTTTTTTTTTTTGGTACCTGGGATCGAACTCGGTTCCTTGCACTTGCGAGGCAGGCGGCGGAACCACTGAGCTAAATCCCTGGCCCAAGACACTCACATTTTAATAAATATTTAAACATTCACCATATTTGTGATCGTACTGCACAGAAGGTTTTTCCTCCAATCTTCAGCGGGTGAACTTTGTATAGCTCCTGGGGGCAAATTTCTGAAAATACCATTCGGCTCTGACCCTGGGCAGGCAGGTCAGACTGGTCATGCCCCCTCCAGCTCCAGCTCAGGACTTCCTGCCCAGTGGCTCCACTTGGCCTTTGGCTGGTAACTCCATAGTCACCCGCTGTCCCTCCCTGGGGCAGTGTTCCCCCAGGACCCCATGTCTGGTGGAGGGGGTCCTCATGGTTGCTGTCCCGTGTTTGTGGCTTTTCCCCTGTTTTCAGGGCAGAGGGGCAGCTCCCAAGCTCCAGATGCTCACAGTTGAAAACCAGGAGTCTACTGCTTCTGTGTCTCAGAATTCTTCTTTTTATTTATTTTTATTTTTTTATTTTTTGGTCCTGGGGATCGAACTTGGGACCTTGCGCTTTCGAGGCAGGCAGTGGCACCAGTGAGCTAAATCCCCGGCCCACTTATTTCTAATTTGATTACATGATGGTCAGAGAATGTTGTTTTCCACATTGTCCGATCCTCAGAATTGGATATTTCTCTGCGGCTTGGCAAGTGGTCAGTTCTTTTCAGTGTTGTATGTGACCTAAAAAAGACGGTGTCAGGTACCAAGAGGCCTTTCTGCCACTCAGATCTGAGGGCTTCAGTTGCGTCACCCACAACTCAAGCTCTGGGCCCAGAGCCTGAATGAAAGCTGCTCCACCCTCTCACCCCAGGTAACCCAAGGACTGTAGGGACTACGATGTATCACAATACATCTTTTCTTTCCCCATTTGAGCCACTGAGAGATAGGTGCTTCTATGACATCAGAGATGTTCCAATGCAGCAAGCGAGCAAGTTTCTCAAGAGCGAGTTCCGGACATAAAGACCAGCCAGTAATCCCAGCACGAGGGAGGCTGAGGCAGGAGGATCGCTGTGAGTTGTAGGGCTAGTGTCTTCCTCTGCTGCTTCAGTCACACCTGTGTGCAATCCCTTTTCAGATTTCACAGGTTTTTGCTTGTCTTCAGGTATTTTTTATTTTTTAATTTTTTTGAGACAGAGTCTCATTATGTTCAGGCTGTCTTTGAATTCACTATGTAACCCAGGCTGGCCTCGAACTCAGAGCGATCCTCCTGCTTCAGTCTGGTTTGATTCAATATAAAAGTTCAGTCTCACCACCACTGCAAACCTTTCTGTCCTCCCCGGTGGCTCAGGACCCACCTGTAGTTGAGGATTGAGACAGGAGTGGCCCTCTTTCACATCCATCCTTACTGCTGTGGTCGGAGTCCCCCTTCCTTTCCAGGGGCGTTGGGACATCAATGATGGAAGGGGGTTCTGTGGCTGCTCCCCCAGGGAACTACAGTGTCCTCTTGGCTGTTGGGAAAGTCACACATCCCCGACATGCCATGTTCTAGTGGTGATCACAGCTCCTACTACCTTCTCTCCTTTTTCCAGTAATTGGAGCTTCAAACTCCATGGGACCCGAGCATGGTGGTGCACAGCTGTAATCCCAACACTTGGGAGGCTGAGGCCGGAAGATGGGGAGTTGGAATCTGACAGGTTTCACTTGATGGTTTAGGTTCTAACCCTGGCAAGAGCCCAGGTCAAGGGAGCAGTTTGGCCAATTCAAGATACCCGTTGTCCCCAGGTTAGACAAATAGCAGACTCCCAGGCGAAAGGAAAACTTGTGCTCAGCACACCCCTAGACTTCCCTTTTCTTCTTGTAACTCTTGTCATTTTCTTCGGACTGGAGCACCCTTGCTGTGGCATGTGTGATATACAAATGAGCTCAGCAAACTTACACACTTAGAGATGAAGGCACCAGGGTTGTGTGGTGTTAGGGTTTAGATCTGAAAGTCACACAAGGCATGTGTCCCAAGGTGGGGGTCTCAGAAGGGACTGGACTGTGAAGGGGCCAATTCATTCTGGGTCAGTTCCTCCAGGAGACTAGGACTGGATGGACCATTGGGAGGAGGTGGAAACAGGAGGCAGGGCCTGGGTACAGAGATGGGCCTGGGGGTGTCTTGTCTCTGGTCCCTTCCTCTCAGGGTTCTCTCATCCTCTGCTTCTCAGCTGCCAAGAGGTGAGCAGCTCTCCTCTCCACGCCCTCTGCCATGATGTTGTGCTTTGGAGCTGACCACTAACTGAACCCTCCGAAACCATGAGCTGAAACAAACCTTTCCTCCTCATGTTGGTTTTTCTTGGATATTTGGTCACAGGGATGAAAGCCTGACTAACGTAGCCAAGGGCCCCAGGGGCCCGCTGTGGTGCATAGGGACCCTTACATATCATGTGACCCCAGAGGCTGTTTGTTTCTTTAAACTATGAAATGATCACTTGTCCTAAACTATTCAAAGTTTGGAAAGCATCAAATGAGATGATCAAAATGGAATAGTGTATATAGTACAGATTTACAGATACTCATGGCTACTTTTAAGATTATATTTGGTGCCAGGACTTAAAGTTTAGCAGCTTTATGATCCCCCTAAAGCTGAATATTCTTCAAGAAAATCATGGAAAAAGATGATTTGATTACAACATAAACGTTTCATTTTGTCATCTGTGCCAATCCCAATTTTAGGGAGAGGATGAACCAGGGCTTTGGTTTTTCCTGGATGTTCCACGGTAACCTAAGCAACGTTGCGCTTGTATAGAGGAAGAAAGTAGGAGTGATGGCCCTATTTTTGTGTTTTAAAATTTAATTTTACCCCATTTCCCCTTCAGGTCCCCTCCCCTCCCTACGTACAAAAGCTTTGTTTCCATTTTTTCCTTCTATTTTCACTTTTCTTCTTGTCCCTTCCTTCCTTTCTCCCTCCCTCCTCCCTTGTTTCCCTTCCTATTCGAACACTTTCTTCCCATTTCCCAACATCCATTACGCATTTCAGTCCTTATTTCCACTCTCAGCTTCTCAAACCGGAGAAACAATGTGGTATTTAAACATGTGTCCGATTTAACTTAAAAGTATGGTTCTCTTAAGCATTTCCTATTTTCTTTCCTTCTTTCTTTCCTTTTTTTTCTTGAAAGAGAGAATCTAGCGGTCTTGAACTCACAATCCTCCTGCCTCAGCCTCCTGCACAGCGGGGATTAAGGAATGGGCCACCAAGTCCGGTTTAAGCGGTTTTTTTGTGGGGTTTTTTTGGTACCTGGGATCGAATTTGGGACCTTGCGCTTGCGAGGCAGGCGACGGAACCACAGGGCTAAATCCCCGGCCCCCTAAGCATTTCTTAATAGAAAACATAATCTAGCCACTTTGATTCTGGTGAATTGTCCTGGTTCTCCTTACTGGAATTTCTGGGCTAAGGGAAAGCGCTTTAGACCTCGGCGGGCACCTACTGCCACCCGAGCGAGCCTGCGCCCAGGGAGGGGCAGCTCTGAGCTTCTCGGCCAGCGCGGAGTGGCTGAGCACTCGCAGAGCCCGGCGAGCCTCGGAGACATCCTGTTGCACAACTAGGGCGCAGAGTCGTCCTGGGGCGCTGATTCCCGGCCCTACACCGCCAGGGCCATATGCGTGATCTGCCCTAAAGAGGCGACGCCTTGGGGGCGCGGAGCCTGGGCGCCGGGGCCGCGGATGACCGTGCTTAGGCTGGACGGCGCTCACGGGGGACGGAGAGTGGACGGCGCCCACAGGGGACGGTGCCCGGCAGCCGCCGCCCGCCCGTGCCAGGATGTGCGCCCTGTGCTCCGCAGGCCGAGGGCCCGGTGCGCACTGCACGCGGGGCCCGGGTCGCCCCAACTCTGCCCCTGGACGGGGCGGGCTCCCGACCGTGAGGGCTGTGGCCTCTGCGTCCCCCAGGGGCGGGAACGAGCCACGCGGACCAGCTGCTCCGGCCGAGCTCCGCCCCTGCAGCCCGGGTTCTGCGCGAGCTGAGGGGCGCGGAGCGGGAAGAAGATGCCCGTGGGGCCCGGGGCGGGGCCGGGAGGGGGCGTGGCAAGGAGCGGGCCGGTTCTTAGGGGTGTGTCCTAGCCTTGGGGCGGGTCCAGGAGGAGCGTCTTGCCCGCGGGGCGGGGCCCGGGCGGCCCGGGGGCGGGGCCTCGTGCGGGGGCGTGTCCTTCCTGTCCGCGTCCGGGTGGCTGCTCTCGAGAGCTCCCAGCGAGTCCGGCAGGCGCGTCCGGCATGCGCGTCCCGCTGATCCTGCTGCTGCTGCTGCCGCGGCTGGCGGCGCCGGGCCGGGCGGGCCCCAGGGTGGGCTCGCGGCAGTGCAGCCTTCGGGGCGGCTGGCGGGTGCGCAATGGGAACGGCTCGCTGGAGCTGCCCGCGGCGGTGCCGGGCTGCGTGCACGGCGCTCTGCTGCAGCGCGGCCTCATGCAGGTACCGGGGAGCGGGGACCGGGGTGGTGCTGCAGGCGGGGAGGGGGGGGAGGCGGAAGTGACCAGGTGTGTGAGCGAGCGTGGCCCGGCGGGCGCAGTCAGTGCGCCCGAGTTGCACACTGGGTCCCCGCCGCCGTGAGCGCCCCCCGCGCTGCGCCCAGCTTGAGCCCAGGCTGTGCTTGGGGCTCCCGTCCTTATAACAGCTCCGCGGAGCAGGGGACGTATCCGGGTTCGCAGGAGGACGCGTCTAAGGTCTCACAGCGCCCGGTCCGTCCTTCCGGTGCACCGCACTTCCTCCTGGAGCAGTGTGCGGACCGCAGGGAGCACCGGCCTAAGTGCTGCCCGCGTGGGGCGGGCGGCTGGGGACGCAGAGCTTCTGATTTGCTTCTCAGCAGTTGTTGCCCAATCCTAACGCCAATCCCTCTCCCCTCGGTGCGCATCCAGAAGGGAATGAGTGTCCACAGTGACAGCGAGCACCGTCCAGAATTTAAGCGCGTTATCTTCAGTTAACGAACAACACGGGACACAGACCAAGCTGACGCTGGGGCCCCGAGGCTGGGCTTACGAGTGCTGCGACAGAACTAGTGACTAGCAGTCAGTCAGGTGACCATGTACCATGCTGAAGGGCAACCTACTCAGAAGGAGAGTTTGGTGACTACTTGCCCGAGTAAGGTCGCATCGTCGCCCACCTGCTCTGTGGCAATATCCCTATGGTGTTGACCCCTGAGCCCATTGTAGTTTAAGTCGGACACCGGGGCAAATAGTGTATTTGCACATGAACTTGAGACGTGCCCTGGCCAAGTCATTTGTTTCCTTTTTCATCCACCTAATTAGACATCCTGTAAGTATTTGCACAGTACAGTACCTCTGACAGAGTAGGGACTCTTCCAAGTGCTCCATGTCAAATGGCGAAGGAAACAAAATCTTACCCACAGGGACATTCTAGTGGAGGGACAATCACCGACCCGATGCAGAATATAGTTTTCACTGCAGAAAAATTAAGGAAGTTAAGGGAAGAGAAGAGAAGAAAAAGACTGATTGGAAAAGGATTGCTGTTTATTTGTTTGTTTGGGTTTTTTTTTTGGTACCGGGGATCGAACTTGGGTCCTTGTGCTTGCGCAGGAGGTGGCGAAACCACGAGCTAAATCCCCAGTCCAAGGATTGCTGTTTAAAATGTGGTTAAAGATAGCTATTTTGCTAAGGTGACGTCTAAGCAGAGGTCTTTCTTGCTTTTAAGGAGAAGGATGTTCTTGGAAAAGTTGGGGAAAAGACAGAACTGGGGACAGCCCTGGAGCCCTGGGGACAGCCCTGGAGCCCTGGGAGCCACTGGGGGAAAAGGGCGTGGAACCCTCAGGAAGCACTTTGGATTTTATTCTGCTGGGCTTGGAGCTCTGGACTTTTGACCTCTCTCAAGAGGTCACTCTGCTCTTGTCGTAGAGAGGAGACCAGCTGGGGACCCTAGCAGTTCTGCGGGCCGGAGATGGTTTCTGGCTTGAAGCCTGAGGGTAGTGGTGAAATGGGGAGAAAGGTGGTGAGAGCACATTTTAAATGCAGAACCAGCGGGAATTGTTCAGTGGGATTTGTTGATGAACTGGGAGTGAGAAAGGAGAGGAAGAGGAGTCAAGGAAACGTCAGGATTTTCATCTGAGCTTCTGGCTGAGTGGGATTTGTATTCCCTTGGAGGCTCTGTGACCAACCTTGGCTCTCTCTTAGGTGACTGACTGGCTTTCCTGCATGGAATCCAAACCTTAGATGGCTAGGGTGAAAAGAACTGTCTGGAGTTTCAATAATTTGAGTGTGTGGAACAGACTGACAAGTGGTAGATTCACGGGGGAAAAGGCACACGCGTTTTAATGTACAGGTGCATAGGAGTTACACCTAGCATGAACCCCAAAGAGCAGGATGATTGAGGCTTGAGTAACCCCCCTTCTTAGGGCAGAGGGAGGAAAGGGTTGCAGGCAACTTCAGAAGAGGAAATGATTTTTAAGGGCGATAAATGGACCCAAAGAACCAAGAGTAGTGTGGTACAGTTTGCCTGAGCTCTGGGTACGGATTAGGTCTAGGCTTTGTCCTGCTGGTTGAGCTCCTGGAGGATCCAGCATGGAGGTAGGTGGGGAACTCCAGAGGCCCTGCCCTGCACTTTGGTAGGCAAAGAGGGGAAGAGATGGGGCAACAGTAGAGTGGGGGGCTGAGGGTGGGTGGAAAAGGCCAGCTGGACCTCGGTTCTCCTTTGGGTGTGGTTTTCTGAGCCCAGCAGATGTCTCAGGGAGCCTTTTGCGCTCCCTGTTATTCACAAGGTGGAGGATTACGCCATGTACTGATGATAGGCATTAAGCAGAGAAAGAAATGAGTGGAGCTGTCTTAGTCACGTTTCTTGTGTGTGGGAAAAAATACCGATATCTGCAGGCAACTTAAAAGAAAGAGAAGTACAATTTTTTTTTTTTTGGTACCGGGAATTGAACTCAGGGACTCGCAATTGCCATGCAGACACAGTACCGCTGAGCTACATTCCCGGCTGGAGAGGTACACTTTGGCTCACATTTTGGTCAATGGTTGGCCAGCTCCAAAGAACAGTGTGGCAGAAGGGCCTGTGGAGGAGAAGCTGCTCACTTCATGGAGACTGGAAGCAGAGCAAGGGAGATAAACTCTTCCGGGTCATGTCCACAGTGACGACCTCTAACCTGACAGGCAGCCATATTGTCCCACAGTGCAAAACTCCCGCCTATGAGCTGGTGGAGCCTTTGAAGGACATTCTCGGTATAAACCCCCCCAGAGGCCCAACCTCCCACTGTAATTTAGCGAGGCAGAAAACTTCTCTAATCGCTATATTGTGGCAAAGCGAGACAGCTCAGTGGCGAGCACGTTCATTGAGGCAGAGGGGCAGAGTTACAGAACATTCTGGTAAGGGGGCGGAGCTAACAACATTCCTGAAAGGGGCGGAGCTAACGGAAGATCCCTGAGCAGTCGCCAAGTTCAAACAGTTATAAAAGCAGGAGCCCAGCAGCGCAAACTGTTGCATTTCCAAAACAAAACATTCTGTGGAAAAAAAAAAAATGGAGGCAAGGCAAGGGCCTGTGTTACATTCCTGAAGCGTGCTCCTCTGATGCCGAGGGGTCGGAGTTATAAAATGTTCTCGTAAGGGGGCGGAGCTTAACAGAACAGTCTAGCTTCTTTTCTCTCCCTTTTTTTTTTTTTTTGGTCCTGGGGATCAACCTCAGAACCTTGCACTTGCGAGGCAGGCGCGGTGCCACTGAGCTAAGTCCCCGGCCCAGGGGACATTCTTGATATAAACCGCAAAAGAGGATCAACTTCCCACTGTAATTTTTTTTTTTTTTAGTACCAGGGATCGAACTCAGGGCCTTATTCTTTCGAGGCAGGTGCTGTGCCAGTGAGCTAAATCTCCAGCCCTTCCCATTGTAATTTATTTAGTGAGGCAGAAAACTTCTCTCATCATTATATGATACATTGAGGACGTAGGTAAGGGGACTTTTTATTAGGAATATTCTCAGCATTCTTGTGCACTTTCTCACGGGAGTGAGTTTTGAAAAGATTCTTCATTTTTAAGCTTTTCTCAGCATGATAAATTAGAAGATATAGAGGAATAAAAAGAAAGAGAAGTTGGAAGCCAGCTTCTGGAGATAACCACTGGTATGATGACCCTGGCCTTGCTCTTATTGTTCAGGATTGCTTTGTCTGTTCTGGATCATTTGTATTTTTATATGAACTTTTGGATTTTATTGTAGTTCTTTGAAGAATGTCGCTGGTATTTTGATGGGAATTGCATTGAGTCTATAGATCACTTTCAGTTATATGGCTTTTTAACAATATTAATTCTGCTAACCCGTGAACATGGGGGTTCTTTCCATCTTCTTTTGTCTTCAATTTCTTTCTTCAAAGTTCTGTAATTTTCATTGTAGAGGTATTTTACCTCCATCCCTAGTTTTTAAAATTTTTTTCATTTTTTTAGCTATTGTGAATGGAATTGTTTTCCTGATTTCTTTCTTAGTTCATTATTGGTATATAGAAAAACAGTTCTTTAAATCTTGATTTTGTATCCTGTTAAGTATGTATTTTAAGATCGCTTTAATTTATTACATATTTTCAAAAATTTTGCATTCATTAATGATTGTCATGTAAGTGCTTTAACATTTCATATATTGAAATATTTAAATTTTTTTCTTTTGTGATGGTTTCTGTCTTTGGAGTTTATTAATCTGTTTTCCATTACTACAGTGAAATCCCTGAGGCTGAGTACATCTTAAAAGAGGTTCACTGAGGGCTGGGGATTTAGCTCAGTGGTTCTGGCACCTGCCTCGAAAGCGCAAGGTCCTAAGTTCGATCCCCAGTACAAAAAAAAAAAAAAAAAGAGGTTCACTGAGCCCATAGTGTTGGAGGCAGAAGGTGCAAACTCTTTGACCATGTTGTGTCATGGTGGATGGGATGATGGTGGCAGAGTGTGATCATGGGGTAGGGCCAGTAACAATCTCCATTTGTCCACACCTCTTAAGGGGCCCGCCACCTCTCAGAGTCCACACTGAGGACTGAGTTTCCGAGGTATAGGATTAGAAATCCACCCCACTTAAATTTTTGTGGTTACTTTTTTTTGGTTTGTTTTTTGAGATAGGGTCTCATTATGTAGCCCAGGCTGGCCTTGAACTCATGATGATCCTTCTACTTCAGCTTCTTGAGTGCTGGGATTACAGGTGTGTGCCACCATGCTTGGATATGGTTCCTTTTTTTTTTTTTTTTTGGTACCAGGGATCCAACTCGGGTCCTTGCGCTTGTGCAGCAGGCGACAAAACCCCTGAGCTAAATCCCCAGCCCCTAGTATGGTTCCATTTTTATATTTAAAGTTTTAATCCATTTGAATTTTTTCAAATGGCTATCAGGTTGATTATATCCTATTACTTGAGCATTTCTCTTTGGTCCACTGATATGAAAATATTTTATCATATGCTAAATTTTCATATTCTTTCTCTTTTAGTCTTTTAAAAAAGTTAC